GCATGCAAATGATGACATTGCAATAGCTTGACAAAGAAAATGAAACGCAAATGCTATAAAATTTGAACGCATATATCGAACCGATAGCATGGTCTGACAGAGCTCAGTGGAAACAACAGGCCGCTATGTTTGTGTTACTTTTTAGTCCCGCTGTACCCGTGAAAGACTGCAAGAAGCACGAATGCTCGCATGAAAACACAAATCCCCAAGCTTTCTAATACGTGCAGCCATCCAGCGCAAGCTTCATCAGTTTCTTCTCTTTTTTTTCTTTTCACTCAGGTTCTGTGCCCTTTATTTTTCTCGATGTTAGGATACCAGCAACGAAGCTGAAGACGGTGTGCAAGGTCGGAGCGCAAAAACGCGAAATGCGGCTTCTACGAAAATCGAAATTCCATTTTTCTGCTGCAAGTGCCTAATGCGTAGACGTTTGCACCGGCGGAACTGTGCTGTTGGCTGCCACCAGTCCAGAATCCAACACACCGTGTGTACCTGGAGCCGCGAATGCATCGAGCGTGTCCGAGATCGCCAGATTCAGCATATGCTCTGAATCTGTGCTGTCGAGCGTGACATCGAGTGATGCTGAGATCGCCAGACCCAGCACTTTGTCTGCATCAGGAATATCGAACGTGCGTGTGTCTTCGACCCTTCATCTGTGGATGCATTTCCTAACCAAGGAAGAAATCGATGTGAAATGTCGAGACGCCATTCACGCTGAACTTGAATCTATGCCAGCCATGGAGAAAAAATTTGAGCTGACGGAGCCAGCTCATGCACCTGCAGTGCAGTGACAAGTGATGGTAAACATTTCTCGCTCGTCAAAATGAACATCTTTAACGTTCCAGACGGCACTTGGAGACGATGGAAATTTCAAACGGCACAAGGACACTTCAAGCTACTCTGCTGGACCTTTTTGAGGCAAACACATGTGCTGAACATTGTGGGGGTGCTCACACCCTGTAAGGTTGCTTGCACCGCATGGCGCACGTGTCTCGCACAGAAGCCGTGTTTCGAAGGTGACAACCGCCGGATGATAGATAGCGTTGTGTACGCGTTGAGTACCACTGTTGGTAGAGTGGTAGCGCCGGCAGTGACCCTGGCGGAAGGCAGGCCTTTGTGGCGGGCGAGAGTTGAGCGAGTTTTTCTGCGCGTGGCGGCTGCCGCGAACGGTTGCCTCTAGCGTGGGTCCTCGGCGCGTGGCACCGTGGGCCTGCGCGTCGGGGGGGGGGGGGGGGGGGGGCACATGGTAAGTCAAGCGTTGGCGATGCCGCCTTGGGTGTGTTATTGTGTGTTTGTCATGTTTTGAAGTGTATGAAAATTGTGTGTGAGGATGCCTTAGTGGGTTGATCACGGTTTATGTATCATTCGGCGGATGATATCGTCATTATAAAAGCAGTTAAATAAATGAGTATGTGTTTGTTGGTTTGTACCGACCGCGTCTGCTGTGTCCGTCTACTCCAAGAGCGTGGCGTGGCGCTCGCCATTTCGAGAACACAACTTCCAAAGCCAGTTTTCTCAAAATGAATTTTTTAGCTAGTTGTGGTGCTGAGGAAAGCGATTTCTCAAGAACTGCTAGTCATATTTGTGTGCCCGTTTTTTATTCTGTTCCTGGATGATTTTGCCAGGGTCTAACAAGCTTTCTTTAAAAATTGGTGTCATTATTATTGATAAGCAATTAATTTTGATAAATGACATCATTACTGGCTACGTCAAATTCAAAGGTGCATAAAAATTTTTTGGAGGCAAAATTGAAAAAGAAAAGGCCTTTAGTGCCCTGGGATATCTATCTAGGGATGACCACAAATAATTTCAGCCTTCTGGTATGCCCTGAGATTTACTCTGGCTCTTTCTAAGGCACACAAGTGAACCACCCAGTTAGACCTTAGTAACTCTAGAACCACTGAACACAATTTCATAAAACTTAGCAGTTTCTCTAGTTTTAATGTAATGAACATACTCTCAAAGTTCTATCAAGATATCCTAAAAAATAAAAAAGTTTGGTTTTCGGGGTAGCCTCCCTCCTTAAGGAGGGAGGTGGCATTGAAAAAAACTTTTTTATTTGTTGACCTACAGCAATGAAATTTGGCATGCATACTCATAAGTGTCTCGAATAGGGAAATATGCAGTTTAATCATGATAGCTTCAGTAGTTCTCAAGTTACATAATGCTGCACAATCCAATTACATGGTCTGCTCGTGGAAAGCCTAGCGCTGCAACAAAACATGCCAAGAAGCTATGAATGGTGTTGATCTTTACTCAAAAGAAAGCTACAGGGTATGGCACTCTCAGAATATTTTAATAAGTTCTCTTTTTTTTTTTAGAGATCATCATGGCTGCCGACACACTGTCAGAAACAGTGGCACGGACAAATCATCGTCTAGAAAAATAACAGGGCCAAAAAATAGAAACTGAAGATAGTTGTACCCACAAGCAGTGTTCAAGGATTCAGAAAAAAAAAACAGAATCAAAATCGGTCCAGTCATTCCCACGCTGCTCTTTCCACGAACCATGCACAATGTCCAAAACACACTTGTGAAAAAAAGCCTGTCGAAGTTTTCGACAGGCTTTTTTCAATGAACTTTTTTGTTTCTCGTTGGATATTGATGAAAATTGGCACAAACACTAAGAATGACCTCACAGTGCTTCCATAAAAATTTTGAAGCGATACCACAAATACTTTACGAGAAACAAATTATTTCTTCATTGAACCATGTGAAGGGGTTGAGCATAATGTCGAAAAAAAAAAAAAAAACAGTATTGAGAAAACTGCGTTTAAAGTTTCAACTTTTCTTTACGTCTTAAGACACCTAAAAATTGTGATCTCAGGTTTGTCTTGTGATATTTGACTTCTTTTCATGATTTACTCCTTTTCATGATTTACAAAGAATAAGTATGAATTTCAAACTAAGTTCTTTGTATGAAGGAGTGGTGTGATAGGTATGAAAAAAAAAGATTGTAATTGAATAAAACCAATACTGAAATTATTACACATATTTTTTTGTGCTGAAGTTGTAACTAGTGTAATTAATTACTTGATTACAAATATTCACTGAACTTTTCTTTATTTGGAGGGAGGTTTATTGCATCAGAAAAATGGATCACACCATGACGGCCTATGCCTTTTTTCTAAATAACAAAGTTATGCGCAGAAGACTGATGGCACAGGAATTTCTAGCAGTATAATTAATGACACGAAACGGGCATATAAGAATTCGTGCTCCTGATTCATACATGCTCTTTCGCCGCTCTAGCTGTGAAACGCATCATCATACAGCCGGTCGCGGAAACTCTAATCTACAGCAATTCATTAACCTCGGAACATTCATAGATGTTCGTGGCGATATCAAGCACGGCTCCAAGCACGTCTGAATCGCATCACAAAAGCTTACTGGCAGCACTCCATATGACCGTGGGGTGCGCGGCTGCATGGACAGCGCAGCCGGCGCGTAATGTGAAACTACAAAGACAAAAAATCGGCACGCACTGCACTTGGCATCGCATTTTCGAATGACGACGCGCGAAACTGCTAGCCGCTGTTACGAGCGATCCTTGGCCGTGAAGGGGGGGGGTTGTCCGCTGCCGATGCGTAAAATGGCCGTACGTGATTCAGAGGAGCTAGCGAGTGATGTAGTACATTCCTTGCGAAGAAGCACGTCGCCGAAAGTGCTTCTCAAGAGTGCGTCGCCAAGAGTGCGTCGCCAAGAGTGCCAAGAGACGCGTCGTTCCTGCCCGCAGTCTCGCTGTCGGCGGAATTAGGGCTAAAGATGACTCTGATGACGCGCGGCGCTCGTAGACTGCGCTCCCGCTCGTAGTAACCTGATCTCGCATCCGCTTACTGCTCGTAACTAAAGCGTAGTTATATCTTAAGTGATTATCAAGCCGTGAGCCTGTCACGAAGAAGTGGCGATTTTCGAGAGCCATGTCCTCGCGACGCACAAGCAGCAGACGACGATCTCCTGGAGCGAGCATCGGGCCAATGGCGAGGCGAGCTGAGGCAACATGGCGGCCACGGCCAATCAAGGGCCTCAAAACGACCTTCAAACATTTGCTTTTTGCTCGCTTGTTGTTAAAGGGAGGAGCCAGCTGAGGCGGGAAAGTTAAACACGGAGAAATGCTCTTTTCGAGAAGCCGGCTCCCGGCCCAAGCATCGCGAAGCTATAATTTTTTGAAAATCGCCGTTTTCCCGCCATTTCCAGAAAAATTTTTGCTACCTAGGTGGGTGAAACGAATTTTCGGAAGCACTTCTGCGCGGTTTTCAGTGTAGATATTTTGGAACCAGATAGAAAAAGGGTTTCAGAAACTGAAAACTTGAGTTTCAAAAAATCGATTTTTTTGCTATTTTTCGCGATCCCAAAGTCGCGTCTCCCCTTAAGTGGCCGAATATGCGGACCATCCACATCACTACAGGAAGTGTCGTTCAGAGATATGATAGTAGGCACGACCGCATCTGCAGTTACTGGGAATAGGAGTGCCGTTTCCTGTATTGGTAGGCACATAAAGTTCAGACAGGTCATGATGGCTATTTCCTACTGAAGTGAAAAGGTCATCAAAAGCTACAGCTAGATTTTCTGCTGTACGAGCAGAGCCGTTCACACCAACTTCACTGGAGTTACCTGTGCTGGTTTGTCTATTTAGAAGTGTATTTAATTTTTCCAAAATGATTTCTGGAGTTAGTGTCATATCTCGCAAGAACAAATTTTCAGTATTACTCTTTCTTGGTTTTTTTGTAAGAGCCCATTTCTCTTGTTCTCTGATTTCAAACATTTTTGCGAAAGAATAATTTTGAGCTTTATAACTTCCATACACTCCACGGTTTACAAGCTCCATGGTTTGCTTCTTAAGTCATTATAAACAGTTATAAACTTATCAATGAATATGTTGTAGGCTGCTGCATCATTAGTTAAAAGACGACTCTTACAGAATACCTTAGAGAGTAGATAATAGAAAAGCTCCAACACTTGGTCTAGCATATGTTAATTGGAGAGAATAGAAGCTGCACTCACCAGAGGATAGGGGTGGTGGCTGTTCAAGAGGTATGCCTTGTGGCCGCGTAACAACAGCTGGTTCCAGCATGGTGCAGGGTGCCGATACAGGCAATGCGGAGGCTGCTGCTGCCGTCGTTACCACTGGAATGTTGCTGCCAGCAGCAGCATCAGAAGAAATCTGGCCTGCTGAATGGGCTGACAAGACTCCTGCTGCTGCTGCTGACGGTGCCTGTGGCATGACGGCCCCAACAGAATGTGAGACAGTGGGTGGGTGCTCAGCAAACGCCTGCACAAGAAGAAGATGGATGTTTCAGAACCCTCACAAGAAATGGCAAGAAAAGTGTTGCATACCCAAGGAAGCCATAACAAGATTTGATGCCGTAGTTAAGGAACTAAAACACTGTGCTGAAAGTGCTCAACAACAGTGTGGTGGTTAATAAATGTGGCCTCATTAGGAGATTGCAATCCTTGTGTCCCTGCCTATTGACCGAATTCACTGAAAAGCAGCAAGCAGAACTCTCCCCGATGAAACCAGCAGACTGTGCTTATATCTTGAATAAATAAGCTAAGCCAAAAAAAAGCACCAGCTGTATGTTCAGTGCCTTACTGACCATGGGGTGGCAATTCCACGTAAGATCGAACAAAGCATGGACGGCCGACCTATTAAATTTATTTCAAAATTTTATATACTGTAACCTGATGAGTGGAAATAAAAGACCTGCAATCGGTTTTTCTGGGAAGACTTTTTTAAAAGCACCAAAAATCAACAATGACGAAGAAGTGTAGTGCCATGCTTACCTGATCTGCTGACTTTGGTGATGAGTTCCACAAAAGACAAGGGCAATCTCGATCTGATTGAAGACGACGCTATTGACGAAGAAGTTGAAGGTGCAGCTGACTACCATGAGAAATTTGTACGCCATTACTGAAGTGCAGTTCCTCCTATCTCAGTGCGAACAGTCTACCCATCTCAGCAACTAGTTGGGAAGTGAACACAATAGAAACCGGGTTACGGCCACCTAGAGAAACATTGGACCTGCTAGTGGGCCACAAAGACCTGTCAATACGCTGTGTCCGTCTTCAGACTCTTCAGTCTGTCGCACTTGCGACAGACTTGAAGATTTACATGAGTGGAAAGAATTCCACAACCACTACCACTACAGTGACAAATTTCGCCAGAACACTGTAGTGCCACCCACCGAGAAACTCAAATATTTAATGACATACCTGATGGGAGCAGCCAAGCGAGCGATCAAAGGCATCAGGCTGGCCGACAGCAACTACGAAATTGCTGTCAAGGCATTTTAAAGGAATGCTTTGGCTGAAAAGAACTACTTGTAAACCAGACCAGCTTCGTGCACTGTCACCGGTTAGGAGTTATAGAGCTTTCAATGTTGCATGACATTGTGATTGATATGTGGCGTTCAACATTCTAAACCACCATATGATATTGAGAGACGTAGTACTGGAGGGCTCCGGAAATTTCGCCATGTGAGGGTCTTTAATGTGCGCCCAAATCTGAGCACACGGGCCTACAGCTTTTCTCCTCCACTGAAAATACAGCCGCCGCAGTCAAGATTTGATACTGCAACATGCGGTCAGCAGCCACAAGACAACCAGGGTCGGGCTGCATGACACTGCATGCTTTCGTGGCTGGAACCCAGATAAGATGCTTGCCCGAGGACTTGGCTACAGACAGAAGATCCCAAGCTGAGCAAGCAAAGTGACTGCGTTTTTTTTTTTTGTTTCTGAAAATCTAGATCGAAGTGGATGGGAAGCACTGTCGGCGCATACTGTGGCAATCGAGGCTGGCCCGCTGCCTTTGCGCGGGCTTTGCCACCTTTTTCTGCGTTGTCATGTCCTGACATGACTCTCCGCTCCTTTGCGGTCTGCCGCGCTGGGAGAGCGGGGAGTGACGTTGTAGTGACACATATCCCGAAGGATTACGGCAACTAGCGTGGATCCAGTCTTAGCGAGCCGCAGCGCACGCGTTAACCGTCGCCATGGTGAGAACACAATACTGCTCAAGGTCGCAACACTTTATTGTCTGTGGCATCCCCAAAACGCAGTACAGCCCGTTGCAAAGGCGCGGCGGGAAAGCAAATGAGCTTATCCACGCCACGGGCGAAAAGTACTACACAGGGTGCCACGAGCACGTCTCCGTGATAAAAGTGATTCCCAGAGACACCGGGACCAAGGCCCTGTTGCTCGAGCGAGGGCAAAGGCGCTCGCGTTGACTTTGGAGAGATACGGGTTGACGTAGCCTGGCCACGCACTAGGAACCCGCACCACTCTTTGGCCTAGCGTTCGGAAGGGGGGGGGGGAGGCGCTGTTGGTGAAGTCCGAACGAGCCCCAAAGAGAGCTGACAGACGAAAAGAAAAGTGTGCTTACGCCCCTGTCGTCCCCAGGGAGGTTTATGACTCACTCCCGACGCAGCGCCCAAAACCTCTTGGGAGAGGAGACCCCGCGCGCGGCGCCACAGTCGACATTCACTACCGGGTGAGAGGGGTTAAACACCACTCCTTGCTCTCCCAGCGCGGCAGACAGCGGAGGAGGGGAGTCATGTCGGGACACGAGAACGACAGAAATAGGCGGCAAAGCCCGTGCAAAGGCAGCGAGCTGGCCTCAATTTCCACAACATTAAACCCCTTTCACCCGGTAGCGGATGTCGACTGTGGCACCAGGCGCGGAGTATCTCGGAACGTTTCGCACGCGCTCATCAGGAGCGAGAGTGAATTTCTCCGGAACAGTTTAGGTGAGACACTGGTTTGAAAGATGCGCCTGTCAATGTCACCAAAGTTTCAGTGCATGTGACCCTAGGCACTCCCCCAGTGTGGGGCACTAGTATATTAGTACAACTTTAGGTGGGCATTCATCGGGAGCGAGAGTGAATTTCTCCAAAACAGTTTAGGTGAGCTCGCATTTCTTTTTTGTTCGTCGACTCCTATTGTTTGGGGGCTCGTTAGACTTCGCCAACGGCGCCTCGCGCCCGCGGAGACCGCTTACCTTTTGTTGCCCCTCCTTCGTACGCTAGGCCGAGGAGCAGTACAGTGTCCTAGTGTGTGGCCAAGCTACGCCATCCCGTATCTCTACGAAGCCAACACGAGCGCCTGTGCCCTAGCTCGAGCAACCAGGCCCTTTGTTCTGTGTCTCCGGCAATCCCTTTTCCCACGGGGACGTGCTTGCGGCACCCCTGTGTAGTATAAACTGTTGCGACCTTGAGCAGCACCGTGTTCTCGTCACGGCGACAGTTAACGCGTGCCCTGCGACTCGTAAGACCAGACCCACGCTAATGATCGTACTCCTTTGGGATATGTGTACACTACAATACCCACCAATCGATCATGGTAACTGATGACATAAGCTACACAGGGCATCCCATTGGCATCTCCACTAGTTGCAGCGGTCTTACTGTGCAACAGCAGAGCCTTGCCAGCTACGGTGACCTCTTTGATTCGCTCAGCAGCAACGCTATACTGTGGTTTCCTTGTTTCGGGACATCAGGACCTTATTTTGGTTGACACTTTCACTGAGCAAGGGGATGAGAGGGCAGACAATGTAGAGAATACGCTTGGAAAGCAAGGAAACTGATGTGATGAAAGCGTCAAAAGAAGAAGCCCTGGCAACCTTCTGGAAAGTCGGGATGTCACAGGGCTATTGCAAGAAACATTACTGCCAATGGAAATGGAAGTGCGGACATCATTTACAGATTGGTGGCAGAAACAAGGTGATAGTGAGAGGACCACTGCATCACAGACGAGACAAAGTAGTCCAAGCCCGCTCCTTGGGTCTGGCAACTGATCATGCGGAAGCAATATGATTGTTGTCATGCTTGTCCCTTCCCCTTTGGAGAATGCTAAAAAACAAGTGGGGCTTGAGGGAAACAGGTCTGCAATTCCTATCACCACATGTCATCATTCATTATGCTCCCTTTTTCAGCTTCTGCTGTTTGGCATAATTTCTGATGAGATACAGCAGGAAACCACCCAGATTCCCTCAACTATAGGCAACCTGGCTTCACGGTCTTTAGCTGCAGCAGTCACTTTGTTGCATGCATAAAACCTTGCAATATGGTGCCGCCTTTTGTTGCTTGCATCAGAGCTTGCTCAAATGAAAAGGGGCACTCACCGAAAGCGGAGGCACCTGTGGCTGTGAGTGCGCTGGTGTGAGCACGGGAGCCACTGTGTTCTGTGAGAAGATAGCCTGAAGTCCTTGCTCGATATTGCTCTTCATGGTGTTGCCATGCAATTTCTGCAGCTCCAGTTTCAAGTCTTCCAGGTTTGTGGCTACCGCAGGTTTGCGCTCGGGAGGCACCGACGAAGGCCGTGAGCTGGATGGCGCAACTGTCACCACAGCAGGTGCCGTGGACACAGCAGCCACTGACACCGTTACACTGTGTGCTGCCACATGCTTGGGAGAGGCAGGAGCAGCTGCTGCTGGCTCCACAGGGGTGGCCATGGTGGCTGCAGGGCTCTCGGCTGACTGCACTCACAAACAACAGTTTGCAACTTATGATCATCTAGCAAATATATCACCTGATGCAGCAATGTTCCACCCAATCCCTTCCCATTTTCTTTTGTCTTTGCATGCTAAGAGCACATCAGTTGGATAAGACGTGGGTGGGGGTATAGCAGAAAAAACCAATGCGTATGGGAAAAGACAGACTTGTGGTATTTCAATTATTACATATAACAACTTTCTTGTTCATGCTACATATATATCCCAAACATGGGCCATGATAAATAAGTTTGGCAATATTTTTCTGTGAATCATGAATGGTTCCTGAGGCAATTTTGATGGACTTTTTATGCACTTCACGTGCACATGTCTTGTGCGCTTTGTACAAGTGTTTAAAGGAGAAGCCTACCGGGGTTCAAATCAATGCTTTAATTTGATGTATTCGTGTTTGACTGAAAAACATTATGCCATCTCACACTAAAGAGAATCGTAAGCAGCACACAAAACAGCACTTGATTCGACTTAAAGCTCTGTTCATCACCGACACCTTGTCCGTTGTTAACGTGTCCTTGCAAGTAGAACACACCATGAATTCACTGCATTTTTTGTTGCTGTGATTTGTCCCAAACTCTTGTTGGAGCAAACCACGCAGGTTCATCGCCCCACGACACGGGAGCATGTGTGTTAATCGTAGATCTGCAGAATCTCGTTCCCCGATGCCATCACGTGATTGCTGAGACAGTGTAAGGGGTTGGGGGAGACGAGGCCACAAACACTTACGCAAGCCCGAAGGTGTCAGCAGGTGCAAGCGCGTTCTTACAACACGTTGGTTCATAGCACCTCTGCAGAATCTCGTTCTCAGCATAAGGGGGGGGAGAGGCTACAGCGCCTTACCAAGCCCCTGATATGGGCTGGAACACGCTAGCATGTGAGCGCGTTCTGGCAGTGCTTGGGCAAGCTCTTGTGCATACGCAGCAAGGGTGGTTACGCACACTGGATTGAACTTCAACATAAGCTATTTTACATTCAGAACTGTTTGCAGTGGTCGGCACAGACTGCGTCATGACTTTCAAGACACTGACCAGTCCAGTCCATTCAAGTGTCAACGTGAGCACCAGCGCTAAAGCTAGAATGTTCGATGGCGGCTGTATAAAAAATGATGCGCTCGACTGATGATCGTACTATCGATGACTGGCGCTCCATTCCCCGCAATCGGAGTAGAGCACATAATGCTGTAGTCAGACTTTTGGTTTCCCAGCCACAAGTCTGCCAAATAAGAGGTTTTATCTTGAAACAGCCGACTACTGCTTGTGTCAGTGTCGTGGCCACGTGACAATACTCTCATTAATTTGAAAATCGGTTCATTCAGGCCTTTTTTCCAGTCTGAAATCTATATAGCTAAATTTTGCAGTACTGCCCCTTATTCATACGTTACTGTGACCCTTATCATGCAAAGAAAATCCCTTGCCCACTATGATTAATGTAAGAGGTCAATAGGCAGTTGACTCCAAAGAGAAAAATGACATACCCCGGGGTCTGTGGATGGGTGATTGCATGGTGTGGTCAGCTCCACCAATTTCTGCTGCAAGTGGCCCAGATCGGAGACGACATTGTACGCTTGCTGGGGCAGTGTGCCTCTGCAGAGAAAGCCCATCATCAATTTCTGCCAAGGATTTCACCTAAGCCTCTACTCACCCTGGCTCCGGCTCAGAGAGGCTGTTCTCACTGCTTAATGCATGTGGAGTGGTAGTGTGGGGTGTGGCTGCCTCGGCTGCTGCTGCTGGCACAGATGCTGCTGACCGCACTTCCCCCTAGGTCACATTACATGCACTCAATCACACCAAAAGGCCTTTATAACCACTTACATATAAACACACACATCTGCCCAGTGTAATGCACGAGATAATGTACAGAGAATTTTGTTGTTATACAATTTTGTTATGGTAGATTTCAAGCATATTATAGTGAACTCTCAATAAACAAAACTTGCTTAAATGAAAATGTCTCATTAACATAATTAAATGGGCCATATAGCTGAATTTCTGTGTGTTGCACAGTAAATTCATCGCTTAATAGAAACAGTGCTTATTGGTCATCTACGGTTAAACGGCACAAATTCTAAACACAGCATAGACTCGCTCATGCCAAGGGTAGTCTCACAACCATGGCAACACCTCGAGATCGAGACAAGCGAATCCAGTAGCCATTTTCACTTGTGGCTGCGGGAACCGAGTCAGCAAGTCAATTGTGCGTCAGGTCTATTTGTGCGGCTAAGTGCTGTGGATCACTGTGTTATTTCAGCCCGATGGAAAGGAAGCGACCGCACTATGCACTCTCGCTTAAAAAAAGCTGCAAACTCTTCAGGTGGCGAAAAAATACATCTCGAAACTGACGATGTTGCGGATATGGAAAGAGAGAGAAAAGATTAAAGTTACTGTTAAGAATAGGACCTTTAGATCAAAACAGATGCGAAAGACACCTTATGAACAACTAGAAAAAGTTTTTTTTCTGTGTTTCAAGCGTGCATAGAGTTCTGATTTGCCCATAAGCGGACCAATTCTCGAGCAGAAAGCTCGAGAGATTGCCATGCAAATGGATATTAAGAACTTTGTCCAAAGCGACGGCTGGCTCATTTGATTCAAAACATGCCATGGCCTAGTCTTTAAAGCAATCTCAGTTGCGAGTGGTGCAGTCAACAGGGACATTTGCACCGACTGGCAACAAGGGCGGCTGAAGGAAATTTTGATGAGCTTCGAGGCACGAGACCTCTTCACCGTCGAATGAGATGGGTCTTCTTTATAAGGCACTTCATCAAAGACTCTCACCCTCAAAGGCGAAGCCTGTAGTGGAGGAAAACGCAGTAAAGATGGCATCACTGTGCTGGTGGATGCAAACATGGCAGAAGATGAGAAATTGAAGCTGTTGGTAATAAAAGAATCAATGCATCCACGTTGTTTCAAAGGCGTTCGACACCTTCCCGTTGCATACCATGGGAACAGAAGAGCGTGGATGACCATGGCCATTTTCGAAAACTGGCTTCAGGAGGAAGATGCAAGATATACGAGACAAGGCAGGAAGGTTGTCTTCATCGTTGATAATTGTCTAGCCCACGGTCAGGTTCAAGGACTCCAAGCCATCACTCTGGTGATCCAGCCGATGGATCAAAGGGTTAGTAAGAACAATAAAGTTCATTACAGCAGACAATTACTCTATCAAATGCTGCTTAGAGCAGGCAGCGGGAAATGCTACAGCATAGATTTATTGGCAGCCATCTACATTTTGGCTTGTGCCTGGGAGCAAGTGAAGGCAACAACAATACACAGATGTTTTCACCATGCTAGCTTTCAAGCACAAGAAAGCAGTACCTGATGAAGAAAGCCCTGCTGATGCTGACATTGAGACAGTATTCAGTCAGGTCGTGCCCTCTGCCCCTTTCACGCTGCAGGACTACGAATCAATTGATGAAAATGTTCATACCTGTCGTGAAGAGACTGTCGAGGAAATGATTACCGAAGTGCAAAATGAGGATCAACCTTCCAGCGATGAATGTGATGACAATAGTGCCAGTGCAGTGGTGCCACCAGACCGATCAGCTAAAGAGGCTGTTGAACTTTTGCAACGCTACTTTGAGCATGAGGCTTGTCCAGAATTTCTAGCTAGTTTGTCCGGCATGGGTGTGTACCTTGTGAAAAAACAACTTAAGCCTGCCAAACAAACCACTCTTCACTATTTTTTTTTTGCTTCTACTCATCCTCATGAGTAAGGTGAGGTTTGTGCAATTTGAATAAAGGTCTTGCTTCACTAAATAAGTGTATTTTGTTTAAATGAAACTTCTGATAAATGGAACAGTTTCATGGATCCCCTTCGAGTTCTATTTAAGGGGGGACATGGGTCTTAGGGCTCTCTCATTAATTTTATGACAAAAGTTGGCATGCTTACTTAGTTTGTTCTCCTGACTCTAAAAATGTAGTGATTTTTTCTGTAGCTACATTAGTTAATCAAATAATCACGATAATAATTTCTATTGTTCTTACCATAATGGAAAAATAACCACCTGTCAAAAATTTATCAATGACATAGGGATTGACAGTAGAAAGCATAAGACATACAACATAGGAAGCACTTTTTCGATTGGGGCATTATTTCTTACTTTACAGTACACTAAACTTCACAGCTCTGAATAAGGCCATTGTGTGGTCACACAAAAGACTAGTTTAAAAAACTTGCATTCAAGATAAATCAAAATGTGCTTCCTATGTTGTGTGCTCCAAACATATAGCTTCATGCTGCAAAAAAAATATTCTGCTATCTGTTATAGTTTCCGACATATTGCAGTAATTTTCATGCAGGGATGTGCAAAATTGCCACTTTGAGAAAATGATGAAAACATAGAATTCTAACATTTTTAACTGTAAAAATATATTTAGTTAGAATTACATGGCCATTGACATATAAATGAATGCTAGAAAGCCTAAGAAGTGCAATGCTGCAAACTGATTGAAAATTGAACGAGTACTTCTCGAATTACAGCACAGTTCATTGCATGTAACCAAATACAGAAATTTTTATATTAAAATAAAAAAAATGAAGCTGCCCATAAAAAATAGGCTTCCAGCATTGTTTTCTGTGCACACTTAGCTACATTGTGCAAAAACAATTACAGCTCTAGCTGTCCTAGGTCCACTTTCACCGGACAAGCAAAAGAAAGTGGTCAAAATCTTTGCTTCCAGAATAATGCTGTTAAAACTTTATTTCGCCGTTCCGAGGGAAAAAATATGATGGCACACATACTTTTAGTCAGTTAATATGCACCTGGGAATGTACTAGGACTGATTGTTTGCACAAGCGTGTAGTTTCTTCTAGTCCTGTAGCAAATTGTCGCCGTGTGCTCGTCTGCCGCGAGGCCACTTATCAGTTCGGTAACTTTACTGACGGCGACGTGCGACAAATGTGCGTGCGTCATCTGCGATACGTCGAATAACACGGCGATGTTTTCCGGCTTGTCCAGAATGAGTTACCCGTAAATGTCGCGAACCAAAGTTGCTCCCTCACTCATCGATTTCGAGGCTACGCAAGTGCCGAGGTGCTAGTTTCCTTTTCACCGTAAGACTGCCGCATTTTCAAGCGGAGATCGCGACAACGTTGCGAACACGTCGTTAAAAGCAGTCTACCAGTTGCCAGTAAGCCCCTATTGCAGGGGCGGCGTGCATTTTTTTTACCGCAACGGATTGACTTTCTGTTGTTCGTCGACGCGCGGCGTACGCCACTCTGTTGACCCATCGTGCAGTTCAAGGTCCTTTCGTCAGGCGGGGGGAACCGCGGCATCCGTGCGTTTAGCGATAAGACTGCGCTTCCGTTCCGCCACTACAAAGATTGATATCTTTTGTAGCTTCACTTCTGTTTTTTACTTGCCATCCTCTAACTGATGAGGCTGCAAAACACAGCCGTCCTCAGTAACGTTGTCGGCAACCAACGGGCTCATACGTGAGTTAGGCCTATATCGGTGACTTGGCGACTGGCATTGACCGTGTCGAGTTCGTTATCCTCGTTGTCGTGAGCCATAACGGGGCTCTTTCTAAAGTTCACAGCGAACGAACGACTGCCACACCTGCTTCAGAAATTACTGTAGCGCGGAACTTCTTTACTGCCACAGGCAGTCAGTAGCACTATGAAAAAAATGGCACATGTCAGTGCGCATCACGATGGTGAAGCAGATGCCGAAAGCGCCCCTTGGCCAATCGGACACCTAGGTTTTGTCACGTGCCCCAGGCAGCCAATCGAATCGTGCGCTAGTGCTTCTTGATGACACGTTTTTGCTAAAAAACCAATGAGCAAGGCGAGCCAGCGGTAGCGGAGAATTGAAGATGAAGAACGACCCTTCCAAACGAGACCAAGATGAACACGATATCTCATGTGTAATGACAACAGTTCGGCGCAGAAAAAGTGCAATTTTAACGTCAGTTTGCGCTCTAATTCATCTCACAGGGATGTTACAAATTGATTTTGACCAGAAATAATGACACGAAAGGCTAGAAACTTCTCAGATAGGTGCAAAAATAGCTACAGATTCCGAAAGTGTCAGCTTCAAAAAGTCGATTTTTTTTTGCGATTTTTGGCCTTCTAAGACCCGTGTCCCCCCTTAAAAGGAGTCAACTGTACGTGAACAGTCCTGCATGCCTTGTGACAATACCTAAATTTTTCTTACGTTCCTGCCTTGAGCATTGTTGCTTGCCAGATCCAACTAAATGAGCGCAGTGAGCGATGAAAGTGGAGAGGGCTTTCTTCCTTACACCAAAGAGTGAGGAGGAAAGCAGTGTGGCACATGAGGTGGCACCAGAGCATTTACAACCTGTGCCCTTAGAGCAGATGTCCATCATTGCTACTGCCAAAAGAGAAGCTCATCACTCGCACTGCAAAGAGGGTCTCACAACAAAGCCCCCCAAAAAACCAAACTATATTGTAGCCCGGAGAACACGGCACTTTGTGCAGTCAAGACTGAAACCACTTAGCCGCGCCGTGGTGGTCTAGTTGCTAAGGTACTCAGCTGCTGACCCGCAGGTCGCGGGTTCGAATCCCGGCTGCGGCGGCTGCATTTCCGATGGAGACGGAAATGTTGTAGGCCCGTGTGCTCAGATTTGGGCGCACGTTAAAGAACCCCAGGTGGTCGAAATTTCCGGAGCCCTCCACTACAGCGTCTCTCATAATCAAATGGTGGTTTTGGGACGTTAAACCCCACATATCAATCAATCTGAAACCACTTACTACCGCCAACATAAAGAGAACTGCAAAATGAATATGTGTATTAGCCTCG